GATATTCGAGTGCGGGGATCTTGGAAGTCGAACAGGGTCCTGGCCACCTGTTATTTGGTTAACATTCCTGCCTCTGGGCATTCCTGTGTTGTTTTGGGTTGCAGGTTGTAGCCAGTTGTTTCAACTTCGTGTTGAGGAGTCTGTGGCCACCTCCTGGGTAAGTCCCTCTTTTCCTTATCTTTGGGTATGTAGCTCCAGGGAGCCATAGGGACTCCCCACAGAAAGCCAGCGTATAATGTAGTGAAATGCCATTTTTCTGGTGAGCCCCGGAGGCTTCGTGGCAGCCTTCTCTCCCTCTGGTCCGTGTTTTTTTTTTTGTTATTTGATGCTTAGCTTTTGAACTGGAGTGCTAGGAAGCCGGTACGGGGAGGGGAGGGCTGCACGAACTAGCAATGAAGGGTGGAGAGTGACGGTTGCTTGTTTGTGATTGGAGGGAGTTCTGCTTCTCTTTTTGGTTTTTAGTTGTAATTTTCTTACTATGTGGGGTTTTGTTTTGTTATGCCTACCTTTCTGGGTGCCTAACCCAGGTCGATGGCAGATAAGGAAAACCCCCTACCATAGGTTTTTTTTTTTCCAGGGCTATTGCTCCCTGAAACATCTCTGAGGGGGCCAGATTCTGGCTCGTGGTCCCCGGTAGGCTGAACTCCATAGACCAATGCCCCGGTCTTGTATACCACACATTAGCCTGATAGCTCCAGGGAGCGTCCAGGGGCTCGCCCAGAAAATGGCATTTCATTACATTCAACACTGGTTTTTTTTTTTTTTTTTTTTTTTTGCGCCTCTGTGACTATAAAGAAAAGCCTCGATGCAAATGTCTACCATAAAATCCACATGGTTCACCACTTGCCAATTTCTCTACCTTTTCAATAGCTATTGTGCGTACAGTGCACCGATGACTCTTTAGAGGTTAATGCCTCTATAGCTCTTAGTCGAAACAGTTACTTTTATTATGATGTAATTGTGTAATTTCTTACTTTTGGTTTCCAATCCTCCAGAACAGTTCTACTCTGCCAGACCTGACATACACCTTGCGCATCCATACAGTTCCATTTTCCCCCACATTACTGTAATTAATCTGTCCATATTGTATCTCGTCTTTACCTGTTGCTTATTTATGATCATACATATAAATTTTAACTTTAGTGAATTTGAAAAAAGCACTTTGATTTATTCTTTTTATCAAATGTAAAGTTTGTGATTTACTTAACACATTTAGAAATTGATCTGTAGTCAAGCTCTTTACTAGTCAGGGAAGACTCATCTTAAGCACCTCTTTCCTGGGTCATCAAGCCTGACAAATTGCTAAAGTATTTGTAAATGCTTCTCTACTGTCATCAATTAGCATGTTTTATGTAAGAAAATTGTTTGTCATGACTCATATTGTACAACATTTTCTTGTCCCTAAAATACTTATTTTCCAAAGGAATCTTGCTATTCTTGTTACCATTTGTTATTAAATATATTAGCTTTCCGTATTCTTGTCTCCGTTAAAAAAAAAACACATAGAGCAAAACATTTTTTACTTCCATGATTACTTCATAAGTTCTTTTGGGAGAGGCTCCTATTGGTGGCTCCTTTGTGTTTGCTACTTGACAAGCTCCACTCATTCCACTCCTTACCAGGCCGTTCAGTCATTGTAACTCACCAGGAATCAGAGGTCAAAACATGATCTCCTGTGAAGAGGCAAAAGTATAAGGGAATCATAGATCACCCTAACCAAGAAAAGGTCAAGAGAACGGTGGACAAACCTGAACATATAAACAGCAAAGTAACCAAAAGCCTTAAAATGAGACGGCTAAGTCCGGAGATGAACGAATTGCCCAGTCATGAAGGAGTTCTCTTGTTCAACCTGTACACCACCAGGAAAATGTGTACCAACTTGTCAATCCCCTAGCCATAAACCTATAATTTTTTGTCTGGTGCTTATGTCTGTGACGTTCACTGTTACAATCCTCATTCCTTCCGTCCCTTCCGTCCGTCCCTTCCTTTCCTTCCGTCCCTTCCTTCCGTCCCTTCCTTCCTTCCCTTCCTTCCTTCCCTTCCTTCCTTCCCTTCCTTCCTTCCCTTCCTTCCTTCCCTTCCTTCCTTCCCTTCCTTCCTTCCCTTCCGTCCGTCCCTTCCTTCCCTTCCGTCGGTCCCTCCCTCCCTCCCTCCCTCCCTCCCTCCCTCCCTCCCTCCCTTCCCTTCTGTCCCTTCCTTCCTTCCTTCCTTCCTTCCTTCCTTCCTTCCCTTCCGTCCGTCCCTTCCTTCCCTTCCGTCGGTCCCTCCCTCCCTTCCTCCCTCCCTCCCTTCCCTTCCGTCCCTCCCTCCCTTCCCTTCCGTCCGTCCCTCCCTCCCTCCCTCCCTTCCTCCCTCCCTCCCTTCCTCCCTCCCTCCCTCCCTTCCCTTCCGTCCCTCCCTCCCTTCCCTTCCGTCCGTCCCTCCCTCCCTCCCTCCCTTCCGTTCCGTCCCTTCCGTCCCTCCCTTCCCTTCCGTCCCTTCCTTCCCTTCCGTCCCTTCCTTCCCTTCCATCCGTCCCACCCTCCCTCCGTTTTCTGTTGTCCATTTGATGTGAGATTATTTCTAGACTGTTTTGTTAACCCCTTGCTTCAGATTGTTAGGTTGGGTGGGGCTTCATGCTCAACTCCAGAAGCAGGGTTTTTCTCTTTTAGTACTTTCTGGATTAGAATAAGATGGCTTGATTTTGGAGGGGTCCTTTGATGATTTATGCTTGGTTGATTCAGCCAGGGCTACGTCGTTTATTATGTCCAGTTGTGGCCATTTGCCATTATCCCTGAACTGCTAATTGCGTGCATGGAAATGCTTTGTGGATGTGGTGTCCTTGGTTCCTTGTTCAAGGGCCTGGTTGTCTCGGACTGTCCACAGTGTTATCAAATTTAACCAACCTGCAAACTACCCTTGGGCCATTTGTTGTAAATTTGCAGCTCTTAGGATTTTTCTTTGAATGTCTTGGTGAGATATATGGGCTTGGGAGTTTTGGTGAAGCAACAGTATGATGCTTCACCTATGCTGAGTGACTGTTCTTTGTTTTTGCTGGGCTTGTGTGACTTGGAGTTGGTTAACTCATAGCTAGCTTTCTGTGGCTCTCCTCTTTCCCTGTAATGAAGTGCTTGGGAACCTCCCCTCCCTGTTCTGGGGCTATAGTTTTTCCTCCTTCCTGGCTAAATGCTTGGTGTTCATGGATAGGGGATCAAGAAGGAAAATAATTTGCATACCTCTGGTGGTGTGCAGGTGGACCTAACAAGAGAACTACTTTATGACTACTTGAATGAATCTTGGTATTTTGCTGTCTTGTTTTCTATGCTTTGTTTACTTTGCTGCGCTTGTCGGATCACGACGTAAATTTACGGACCGTGTTATAGTGGGTATTTACTACTCGATCGACTTGGGGTTTGTATGAATATGTTTGCCATTAAATTTTCGTTTTTTCTAATAGGCACAGTGCCTATTTGAGAAAACGGCAATGTATTGTAACTTAGAGGAGAGACTATTGAGTTGGTGACACAACGAGGGTAATCGCCCACTCCACACACTCTTGTGTTGGCCGCGATCATGATTCTACATTTATATGCATATGTCTGTGTAGAGAATTTTATTCCGAACACTATACAAACAAAAAAAACGGTGTGAAACAAGTATAAACTTGAAAAAACATGAGCAAAGTAAAAACTTTTTACGCTCACGGGTACAAACACGCGTAAGATTTTATTCGCCGCAAATTTATTTGACGCTCTGTTGGCCAATTCTACCCATGTTCTTATAGAACTTTCTATTGTTATATATAAAACTTTCTATTGCGAACACATTGCTATAAAAATGAAATACGTAGCTCGAGAAATAATGTCAGGACAGTGAAATAAGTATAAACTTTCAAAGCGCTGCATCACAACAGTGTCGTCGCTGCTGAAATCACGGCTAACGATTCGCCCAGTTCCCACACTCGTGCGGAACATAATTAGACATTGATAGGCATATGTCTGGGTGGAGAATTTTATTGCGAGTTCAGTGATATCAAAATAAGCGCTGTAGGATGACTGTGAGGCTGGCAACAAACGAAAGAGTATGAACATTTACTTCCTGTTTGGGTGTCATGGCGAGTCATCTTCGTGTTTATTTACTTCGTGGTGGGATAGCAAATGCTTTGGTAACATTTTATGCATATGATATTGTAGAAAATTTTATTGCCAACGCATTGATACCAAAATGAAAAACGTAGCTCGAGAATTGATGTTAGGAGCTTGAAAAGATTATACACTTTTTTGTGTTTACGCTTGAGCGCGCAGAACGCCGCGCGCACAAGGCCCTTTTTTTTTCACGAGTGCCGCGCGCACTAAAGTGTTAAACACTTTTTCTGTGGGAACGCCCCAGAGGCTCCTTGGCGCTATTGAAGTAATATTAGCTAATATTAGTATGGGGGCTTCAGTCATATGGAGTTGTCATGCCTACTGGGGACCACTAGCCAGAACATAGTCCCCCTCAGAGAGGGAAGGGAACAATGGCCTATGAAACACACATGTATGAAAGTATTCATGTCCTCCATCAACTGGGGATTGAGCACTCAGAAAGGTAGGCACTTCAAAACAGACCCCACCTGGCTGAAATTTGAATCGCCTACCTTTCTGGGTGCTCAACCCTGGTCGATGGCAGACTTTAATACTTTCATACATGAGTTTCATAGGCTGTTGCTCCCTTCACCTCTCTGAGGGGACCATGTTCTGGCTCGTGGTCCCCGGTAGGCATGACAACTCCATATAACTGAAGCCCTGTACTAATATTAGTTAATATCAGTCCAATGGCTCCAGAAAGCCTCCAGGGCTCTACCCAGAAAAATGGCATTTCATTACATTCAACACTGGCTTTTTTTTTTTTTTATATAATTGTAATGTGGTTGTATTAAGCCTCATGTATAGTTGGTTAATAACTATTGTGTAATGATGAAGCTAATTATGATAATTACTGTTTTTCAAAATAACTAATAATATAATTAATTTTTGCTTCAGACTGGGCAGTATCAGACAACTGTGGTATGTTTCTAGCCAGTCGTTTATTTGTGTGTGTGTGTGTCATAATATTAACACAGTCATCTTTATTAAATCTATTTGTTTTCTAATTAGAATTTATAGTACATCCAATGGTTGCCACATAGGGCAGATCCTCCCAATAAAGATGGTTTCTAGTGCCACATAGCTTTCGTCAACTTTCAGTAGTACTGGTATTCTTAGGCTTTTGCATTTTTTTTTTTTTTTTTTTTGTACAATGTTTGTCATTACTCTCCACCTTGTAATATCTTTTATCATTTGTATTATCTTTAAAGTAGTAATATTTCATAATGTTGATTGTTTATGCTTTTTCAATTACACGCAAACATTCTTTAAAAGTCCATTGTGCTTGTATTTTTAAATGTTGTTAGCAGTACCATTTATAATTTGATTAATGTGTAAATTGTGTACATCACAATGACTTTAGAATCTGATTCTTGCGAGAACGGGTGTGCACCACATTCATGGCCAGCTTCTTTGGTTTTGTGTATGTCACTGAACCAAAGACCATAAAAAATTTGCTCATTTCCAGCTTATTGACCAAGAAAAAATAGGACTGGTAGGTGGAAAATGTTGCTAATCATTTTACTCATTTCCTCTTTATAAATACTGTAAACGTTACCATTCTATAATACCAATTCGTAAAATAATGGACTTGGTGGTTTTTGTTTACTAAAAATTACCAATACAGTATTTGGACATCAGGGATGTGGTTCTCATTAACACAGTACTGTACGTTATGGGATCGGAGATGCACCAACTGTGAATACTGTATGTGATTTAAAGTGCAAGTTGATTGCTTGTATACTAGTTATGCAAAATTTTAATGTACAGTGCATTTTTGCATCATAGAAACTCCCAAATGTGCAGCAGGTGTTTGTGCTTTCACACTTTTATTTTATTTTTCCCTTGCCCTGGTGGGTTCATAGGGTAAGGATGACATTTCATGAACAAATACCATAAACAAACATGATTGGTGGAGACAAGAATGAGGGTACCATACATCTAGCATTTTTCCTTTGCAATTTTTATAGTATTTACGGGCAGCCACTTAATTTTTGAACAGTTCAAGATCAGCCTATTGTTGGTGAAAACTAGCCCATCTTTGGATTTGCTGCAGAAACAAATCTTGTAGAAACCCCAGAATCAAACATTGAAGACTAGAAAATTATTCATTATAAGCAGTAAATAGTTTGTGGGTGGTAGCTGCTGTTTAATCCATGGGTAGAGTTAATAATAATATTTCATTGTGTTGGAGGACAGGTAGCCAGGTTATACAGTGGCACCTCGATTAACGAATTTAATCCATTCCGGCACAGAGCTCATCGTGTGGAAAACTCGTCTTGAAAACAACAAAACTGTCGTCGGAGGTGTCCGAAAACCAGGGGGAAAGCTTGTTAATCGAACGAAAGCTTGTCAGTCGAGACAAATTTTCTGCGAGTGGCTTGCTCGTTACTCGAAATGCTCGTAACTGGAGCCGTTCGTCGCTCGAGGTTCCACTGTACATACACACACATACAGTATATGTTAAGCTGATATTGTGGCAGCATCCAGGGTTGAACTACTGACCCTCCCCAGGATGCAACCCCACAACAAGCTGACTAACTGCTGGGTACCTATTTACTGCTAGGTGAACAGGGAGCATTAGGTGAAAGGAAAGGGTCACAACCATTTCTGTCCGGCCCGGGATCGAACCTGGAATTCTCGATTGTGAGTCGAGGACAAACCCGACTGTACTACCGGGCCCATCAAGGTGGTTGGAACTTGATGGGCTCCCCATAGATGTTTATGGCAAACTTTCTTTGCCAGTCTTTGTTGTTGTTTCATAGTCTGTTCTAGTATTAACAAAAGGTATGTACATATTATACAGTTTTGTTGTATCCCGAGGAATAAAATAATTACTTGATTCCATATCATCTAGAAATAACTGTTATTTCTTGATTGCCTATGTTTTCTTCTGCTCTTTTCTCCATCTTTATCGTCCTCCTTGGCTTGACTATTATTTGGCAGTAGTCTATTATTGCTTTTATAATTCTATTCTTTTTTATATAATTAATATTCTATGATAATTTTTAAGTTTTGAGAAGTAGGGGGGCTTGTCACTCATTATCTGCTTGTGTGTCACACAAGTGTTTAACACCAATTACTCTGTTGGTCCTTGGGACTGTATCCTCCTCCTAGCATATGCAGGTAATTCCTCGTCATTTTTACTTGTGAACGTATTTGACTCTCTTTAAGTATTAAAAGTCTGCATTGTGATCTGCTGGAAAATCAACCAGAGGGATGTAAAATTTGTTGTGAATAATTGTCAAGGTTGTTGTTCTTACTTAGTCCTGTGATAACATCCACTTGGTTGGCTTTATTATACTAACTTATTGAAGTTTGTAATTTACTAGAGACATCTGGAAAGTATATTTTATGATGGTGCTTAAGGTTCTGAATTGTCTTAATCCATGGGTTGTATCAAGAGGTGTATTAGGGAAACAAGAATGTAGCCAAGCTGATGCCATTATTAACTTGTCCTCTGGTTCATTTGTCATTCTGTTGACAAGAAATGGCCCAACTTTGCTAAATGATAAGTTCTATGCCAGTATGATCTGGAATTTACTCCTCTGTGCCAGCTGACAACCTCTAATAGCTTATCTTCATAGATTTAATTCAGCAACAATTTTAAAAGCTCCCAAGTTGGCCATATTGTATTGTAGTGTGGGTTGGTGGTGTTGTCGTTGATCCTTCTCTATGGACAACCCAACCCGCAACTCGGTAGAGTGCTTATACTTTACCAGAAGATCACACTGGGCACTTCTGGCTCTTGGAGATGGGCTCAACATCACATGTTTAGGGGATGCGGCTCCAACACTTAGCCTCGTTGTCACGTGCACACACCCACTCGAGCTGCTGTGACTCCCCACTCTCTCCTTATGTGATATGATCTCAATCCCCTTTAACTTATTAGATTTCTGTTCTACCCTGTCCACAGCTGTCGTTCGTGGTTCTTTCTCTCTCTCTCTCCATCTTTTCTACTTCCTGGGAAGCCTCACTAGGACAAGGGCAAACACCAGCAAATTTGAATACATTTACTGGACAAAGCACATACTTCTGATTCACCACCTGATACTATCAACCTTCTCAAGTAGATCAAGTCTTATAATACAATGTTGCACTATCAGCGAGAGAATATATCTATAAACATGTACAAGGAAAATCAGTGTATGAATGCAATAACATATATATATATATATATATATATATATATATATATATATATATGTCGTACCTAGTAGCCAGAACTCACTTCTCAGCCTACTATGCAAGGCCCGATTTGCCTAATAAGCCAAGTTTTACTGAATTAATATATTTTCTCTAATTTTTTTCTGATGAAATGATAAAGCTACCCATTTCATTATGTATGAGGTCATTTTTTTTTATTGGAGTTAAAATTAACGTAGATATATGACCGAACCTAACCAACCCTACCTAACCTAACCTAACCTATCTTTATAGGTTAGGTTAGGTTAGGTAGCCGAAAACGTTAGGTTAGGTTAGGTTAGGTAGGTTAGGTAGTCGAAAAACAATTAATTCATGAAAACTTGGCTTATTAGGCAAATCGGGCCTTGCATAGTAGGCATAGAAGTGAGTTCTGGCTACTAGGTACGACATATATATATATATATATATATATATATATATATATATATATATATATATATATATATATATATATATATATATATATATATATATATATATATATATATATATATATAATATATATATATATATATATATATATATAATATATATATATATAATATATATATAATATATATATATATATATATATATATATCAATCAGTATAAATGTTCCTTGATACACAACAATGATCAATCGATCACTCTATCAGTCCTAGAACACATACATCTGTAGGTAATCCAGCCTACGACTGTAACTCTATACTTCAGTATAAACACTCCTCGGCACAAGAATGCAAACAATCACTTGCCTTTCACTGCGTCTTGCACGCTAATGACAACCAAACACTATCACCACCCTACAAGTAATCATTTAGAACTTCCCTCCCACATCTGGAAGTTAACTACCCTGATCTCTTCAGATTTTTCCGGGTTAAACTACTAGGATCCTCTGCAGCTCCTCCAGGATGCTACCATGAAGTTTCCTTGAACAACTATGGTGCTTCACCCACCACCTCTACAGAAGCACGTGACACTCCTCACAGCTCGAGGTCCTCTCCTCCACTACCTTGGAGTCTCATCAACTACTCCCTCTGTGCCGTCTTCGAAGTTCTCGGCAAATTCTTCCCCACAGACAAACCTGCAACCCATTGACACTCCAATAAAAATGTTTCCCCTTAAACACATTAACAAAAATAACCACACAATATGTTTGCCTCCAACATCTATCAGCTCTCTACATACTGTGAGAGTGGACTTCCCATTTTTGGGCTGGTCCATGCTCCGCCTTGCCCGGCGGTCCTCACTCACTCTGGGAGGGTCCTCCGCCATCAGGAGCTGGGCTCCCTCAGTCACCTGCCAGCGCTTGGAGGAGACGGATGTCGCTCCGTCCTCCAGGATGTTCTTCCCTCTCCACTCTTATTTTAGGCCTTCTGCCTTATCAAAATATGTCTACTTATCAATAAACATTGCTACTGTCGCTGGGCACACGACCATTTACAAGTAATCACTATAGACTGGCTTAAATCGTGCTTACCACAGATTGTCTAGTTGAGGGCGCTCCTTCCTCTGAAGGAGTCTGGTCAGGGCACTCCCACGGCCCACGATAATGTCTCTGGGCGGCTTAATAAACACTCCTCGCCGTCCAGGACTTGAGACCACAACGTTCCCAGCTCGATTCCACAGCTGGAACGTCTGCATACTTCTCTTCTCTTGGAGATATATCGCTAGGGGTTCCTTTCTGATGGGAGCTCAAACGGAGCACGGCTTCCCCCTGCAATATTTGGCACTCAAGTCAGGTCAAAGCCCTTCAGAAGCGAGCCTCACGCCTCCAGCAAATTATCCACATCTCCTAACCAGTCATTTATCTATTTTCTTATTTACTGCCCATAATCTCAAATTGTTCATCATATCCAACCAACTATTTTACATCTGTGTTATCACCTCTATATTTTCTAGACCTTCTAGTCAGGTCAGGCTTGATAGAATAATTCTCAAAGGGGAGACTCGTTTTTCGGCTACCTGGGATCTACCTGGGATCATTTCCATCTACATGGAAAACACTGCTCAATTTTCTCACATGACATTTTCTAGCTTTCTCCATGAGCAACCAACCTTCCTCTTGTTTGTTTGTTTGTTCACACTTGTGCCTATACCAACCAGCCCTCTACTGCACCAACACTCTTCACTGTAGCATGACTTGCTGCTTTTCTATTGTGCATTGCTTTATCACCTTTACTTTGAGGAAAATAATCAGACTGTAGATTTGTCGGGTGTAACATAATTTTGTGAAATATCACATCTCTTTCAGCAAGGGCACAGATCAATGATCCCACTAGCAACTGTTCACCAAAATAAGGTGGATTTTGAGAAAACTTAAGATTTATCACCAAGTGGCCAGCAACCACTTTGACCTAGTAGTGTTTGAATATGTAATACGCTGATTTAGGAGTTAAAGCCACAAAAAAGTGTTGAGAAAAGCATAATACTGCAACACAGGAGAGCCTGCTTATTGGAAGTCACATGCTTGTTGATATTTTAGGTAGGATGTATTCTATCTGTATGGGGAGCAGATAGTGGTACTAATCCAATAACATGGCTTGGCAGACTCTCTAATGGTATTTCTCTCAGTCCTCCCATTATGTTATTACTCGGTTAACACTTTAGGAGCAGAAACTTGTTTTGAAAACCATCAATTCTTTTTGTGCTGCTGGTAGAGCTGCACCTTAGTCTTGGCCTTGATCTCAAATCCTCTCTTTCTAAAGTTATTTAAACATTCTTTCATATTAATTCCTTCCCATTCATTATTAGAGCCTACCTGGTCTCTTGGTTAGGTATTGAACTAGTGTCTAGACAGGTTTTAGGTTGCTTTGTTCGAGGATTGTTCAAGGTTACCTTGCTTTAAAGAAAATCCCTGCTTGCTCGGGCCACTGGCAATTGGATTTGTCAACTTCATACTCTCCAACAGACTCGTGGTTTAATGTTTTAGTTAGAAAGATGCTTTCATGCATCTCCATCCTAACCCTAGCTCTTTGATTAAAAATTATTTTTTTCCTTCTGTCCTTAAAGATGGGTCCTATTTAATTTGGGCTTGGTTTAGCTACATTATGTTCATATGTGACTGCCTTATGTTGGTATCTCCAGTCTTCTTGAAGACTTGAGCTGCATATCTTCCAATAATCATTGCCCAAATGGTGCATTGTATCATTTGTGTACAGTGCTTGAAGCCTTTGTCTTGGCTTCAGTTTTGTAAAGTTGAGTCATGTGCAAATGTATCTCTATGTGCATGACTTTCAGAAGTTAGGCTTTCAAGGCTTTTTCCTATTTGGACATCCACTTTTGGGGTTGTTTGTTCTAACTGTACCTTTTTAGTGAGAGTTAACTCCCCAGCATTTCCCACCTCTGCTGTCAGTGTTTTTCAGTTGGGCAGCTCTTCTCCAGGTAACCTGCTCCTCCTGGCAGTGTCATGGTGTTGTGTTGTGACTCTTTGGAGTTTTCTTCAACGTTCTGCCATGTTGTTCCTGGAACCCCAGTCACTTGAGCAGCAAGTCTTTCCCCAGCATTTCCTGACCAACCCTCCCATTTTCTGTAGTTTCTCACTTCGTATCACACTTGCCTTAGGGAGTATCAAATCTAAGTGGCTAAAAAATTAGATTTTGAATGAAGATGAAAAGTGTCCCTTTGAACAAGAACCCAGAATTCTTGATCATGTTTTGCAGTTTTTTTCATTGTGTTAAGTCAGAATGATAGTCTGCAGCAAAGGACCGAGTACTGCTGTAGGTGCTCTGCTCTGTCCAAGCAGTTGGGAGGAATGGCAAGCTCCCAACATGAATGCACAAGGGGCAATTTATATTTTTATTCAAATGTATTCAAGGCTGTTGACATATAGGGTAAATGTGAAGATTGTATATCTGGACCTTGGCAAGATTTTCAACACAGTTCTGCATGAGAGGCTACTTAGGAAAATCAGTATGCATGGTTTATGAAAGAAATATGTTAAAATTGGACGGTTTTGATAGGTTTCAAGAATAAATTGAATAGTTACATGGGTAGGAGAATTAGATTTAAAAAGGACCTTCCAGCAGGCAGGCCTATTTTGCAGTTTTTATGTTCCTATACTTGGCAGTCCTAATGCAAAATTGTGCTTAAGAAGAATTGAGTATTATAATTTGTATTCACGCTGGACTGGATTGAGCTCCTCTCCAATACCTCACTAGCATCATCTGACAAACGTTTGTAAAGCTCCCTGTTGTGCCAGTGCAAGATGTTCTCCTGCCCTGACTGTCATGATCCACTCCGTAAGAACCAGGATGGGTCTTGTTTTACTGAGCATCTGTGTCCTGCTCAGACAGAAGCTTTTTATATTCACTCAGACTGATTTGTGTTTATAAATTATTTGACTTATATTATATTAAATGTTTAATGCTATTATATGTGCACTGTTCTTTTGGTTTAAAGATATTATGGGGAAGGGCCCATTTGCCTTCATTTAATTAGGACTTTCTAGCTTGTCTAATTGACACTTTTTCTTTCTTGACTAATTGATGACTTGATTTATTGCACTGGCAATTTGTAAAATATATACATTGAGGATATAGCATGGAGCACTGTAAATAATATGGAGAGTTTTTAATATATACAATTTCTCTGGCGCCCTTTCTGCCTCATGAGTAATGATTTGTGGGGAGGTACAATAACTGGCATGCAGCTGCATGTTAGCTTACATTGTGCTCACAGATATTAGTCATGGAGATTTGCTTGGTCTAGATACCTGCTTTATCATAGTTTACATTTAATTGCTTGTACAGTTGATTATCCCACTAACCTCTGCACTCCTGGCACCTATAGGTCTAGCATCAATACACGGAGCACTCTTGGCACGAGGTAAGATGCAATTACCAATGTAGTTTTTATAATTTACAGATTAGTATATATTAGGATATACAGAATAATTGTTACTTGATTAGCAGTCATCATGATTAATGAACTCCCATTTTCTTTCCCTGTTAAATTAAATATAAATTGAAGGTAATAGAATGTCTGAGGACAAGTGGGAAATTGTTTCTAATTGTAGCATCAAATATTTGGACAGCAGGAGCGTGTTAGCCTAGTTGTGAATAAATTGTATAATAGTTTTCAATAAATTATTTGATATTTTAATATTTGTATTTTGATTTCTTGTTAGGCTGGTTGTGTATAAAAAAAATGTCTGTGAGAGTTTCATAAATAAATTCCTTTACCCTTCAGACTCTGATCTTGTTTGGTTTAATAGGATTGAAGGGGTTGGCAAAAAACTACAGTATAGAAAGAGAAGAATTGTGCTAGCCAGATTTAGAGGAGCATTTTATGCTGACATCTATCATCGACTAGAACTAATGGGTACAATTTAACATCATTTATCAGGTTGAATGTTTGTGCAAAAATTCATACTATATATATGCTTGTTTATGGGTGTGTATGCATATGTCTATGTATATGTATACTGTATGTAACAAACTGGCTGACATACCAGATACAGTTTATGTGGTATCTTAAGATCAAGGGTGCAGTTGTCTGAAAAATATAGAGTAGAGTTCTGTGAAGGAGTCCAGGAACCCTGGGAAGCACTTCTAGACTGGGCACCATGAGAGGTGGAGCCTTTGATGCTGCCACCGAAGCCCTTCAGCTGTTGGTGCCATCAATCCAACCTTGGGTCGAGCTCGGTGAAGTAGCACCCATACAATGCGTTAAGCAAGGAGAGCTGCGTGAATGTAAACACTAACAGGAGTTGGGAGGAAAGCGTGTTCCATTTAGAAACAGTTGGCAGATGGATGTACGAGTGTATGTTCAATGTTGACGAGGGGGATGGTGCCAGCGGGCCCGAATCTACAGAGGAGGAGGAGACGCAGTAAACCAAACTGGCTGTTCACCAGGTGAGGCAGAGGAAGCTGGTTGTAATGGTGTAACTAGTGTTTAAAGACTAGATGCTTGTAAGTTTCCTCAGCATGGAAAAAGCATCCACCTCACCTGCTGCAGACAGGCTGCAAAAGGTTACACAGGAGTGTCCAGCCCCACAAGACAACCATGCAAAATACAAAGTCAACTGCCTACACCCATAGGTGAAAGGACCACAGAACCTAGCAGGCAAACCACAGAGTATGAAATAAAATTGGGAAGCCACAACTACCCAGCTATGTTGGTCAACATGTTGGTCAATAAATTGGTAAGGGAAGGTGGAAGCAGCCATGGATTATGAAACTCATGCGTGCTCTTTGCTAAAGTGTAAGGTACCCAACACCCACTATAGTAGGGCCAACATGATAGGCAGATCTTTAATGTGCACAAGCTTACAGTCCTCATGTCTCGATGCTGTTGTATTCGTAAGTTGAGAAAAGAGTCCACCCCATCAACTGACCACACAAGGGATTATGAATCTCCTGGATTGTCCAGAAGCAAAGTGATTCTAGAGGGGGGGGGGGTCAACTCATACAACCCCTTAAAGTAGGTAGACCTGGAAATAGATAGACCTAGAGTAAGCATATGGAAATGGAAGTTGACCTCAGGGAAAGGAATGCTAACCACAGTTGGTACAAAATGGAAAGCTGGAGTGTACACAGTTGTGAAGCATAAATAAAAAGAGAGCAATAGAGTCTGATAGAACACAATGTTCCAGGGAAAACCAACACCACATAGCTGAAGGTGAGATGCCAATAATGGGCCCAGCAGAGGCTACATGTGTTGGAGGGCCATGTAGCAAGTATATTAATAATATACTTGCTTCATATTCTCATTAGCTTCAGTGCAGATAATTAGATGTGCCTGTTAATCCCACTGAACTTACCCCCTAAGGGGTTCACTTTTCCAGGAAGTTCTACATCTATCCTAGGTCCACTAATTACAATTAATATCTCTTCCAAAAGGTACAGGATCAATAATGCTAGCCAGTAGGTAACCTGCTATATGTTGGTCAATTTGCCAAAGTGAGGAGAAGCATGTAATATAAACCCCAATAATGGAAGTGTTGCCAGTCAAACTCATATAGTGGTTCAGTACAGATGCTTGAGAGATACCGCCGATCTTCAACACCCATTGACTGTCACAACTCTAGAGTCCGGTTCCTACCCTCACACAACCCGTTCTCGCAAATTCGTAAAGTCAATATTGACTTATTAACTACGTGCATAGGTGATATACTAAACATAATAGATACCCTTAAAAAGCTTCATAGAAAACACCGACCTTACCTAACTTTGTTAGTATGTTAAGATAAGCATCTTATTGCTTTGTAATTACAATTATTACTTAACCTATACCTATATTAGGTTAAGTAACAATTGTAATTACAAAGCTATAAGATACTTATCTTAAGATACTAACAAGGTTAGGTAAGGTCGGTGTTTTCTATGAAGCTTTTTAAGGGTATCTATTATGTTTAGAATGTCACCTATGCACTTATTAAATAAGTCAATATTGACTTTACGAATTTGCGAGAACGGGTTGCCTCACAAGATGCTTTAGCCTTGCTACAGAGCAGCCAGCCATGTTCTGGCTGCATCGAGCCCCCATGCTCTCATCCCTCTCATTCTAGCCTGCTCGAGGAGGCCTTGTCTTGATCACAACATGTCATTACATCTCCAACAAGCTGACTGCTGTAACTAAGACTATAGTTTTTTATATTTATTTAATAAATTCTTAGTCTTATCACCCAAACATGCATACGCAAACGTACGTTACAGGCTATACCAGGCAGAATAATGAGGAGGCTGGGCAGCTGAGCCCTCAGGAAACCTTTCAGCCATCTACTGTCCTTAGTCAGGGTATTTAACTCTTGGCAATGACCGTTTGCATAATTTACCAAGGGGTGCCTAATTTCTTTCAAGCAGTCACTGTTTTATTGTAGCTATGCTTTCTGGTAGGATTTTCTCAGTTTTATGTTGATCTTTGATTCCCCTGCTTCCCTGCTCCACTTGCCTCGTAAATATTCTGATCCTGACCCCTGGTAAGTGACGGATGGTCTTTGGAGGTTTGGTGTGTGTTGGCTAAGGCCTGGTGATACTAGAGCTAAGCTTCGGAGATACTGGGAGCCCATCAGAAAAGGGCATTTAATTATATTCAATGCTTGAGTTTTTATCATTAGGTTCTTAACATATTGATGATTTACACAGGTTTTGTACACCTGCCAAAGGTTTTTATGTATTGTGTATGCAATACAAGATTGCATGTAAAGTGTTTTATGTAGATGTGTGTTTAAGTCAAACATTAAGTTTCTAGGCAAGTTATATTTATAATTTCGGATGTAGATTGCACAGGTTAACCAGGCAGTGGTCTGTTTTGATTCTTCTACCTTTCTGGGTCCATCCCCAGTTGATGGCAGTTATGATATACTGTACCTTACTTTAAATGTAAAGTGCTCATAGGCCATTGCTCCCTGCACCTCTCTGAGGGGGCCAGATTCTGGCTCGTGGTCAGGTAGGCATAAGGACTCCAGATTGATGACCCCAAACTAATATGTATACTGTAGCACATATCAGTTAGGATAGCTTCAGGGAGCCGACAGGGCTCGCCCAGAAAATGGCGTTTCATTACATTCAACACTGGTTTTTTTATGTGAATGTTAAGTAGGTGTGTAGTGTTGCATACAAGTAGAATTGTAAAGGGAAATACTAGATGGGATAAGAAGTGGCAAGAGCAGTTAATGAAGAACATTTGAATTTTGTGAATGTAGTCATGAAAAGACGCTTCATAAGGAAAATGAGTTAAATGTGTAATATAAAACACCTGGAGTTACATGCACATGCAGAGTTGAAGGACTCTTGTTGAATTTCTGTGGATGATGCACATGCTGAGAATGTAAGGAATATATATGGCATTTGGAGAAACATCTTTCCATAACATGATAATGTTTTGGAAAGAAGTTGAATGTGAATGATTGATCTACAAAATTGAGGAGAGAGTGTTAAGATAGTTTGGATGTGTTAAACTATGGATGGCAATCAATAAAGTGGCAAGCTTGCCTAAGGAAGATATGGAATCATCCAGAGGTACGTTCAGTCTTAAAACAAAGACAGTGCCGTTGGAAATTTATACCTTTCAGAGCACCGTGGAAAAGTGGATTCTATGAACGAATGGTATTATCACTTTCGCGCTCCCTGGGATGGTAAAAAAACGGTATGTGCGCGGAGCGTTTTTGCTGAGTAAGCGTAAAAACAAAAATGTGTATACTCTTTTTACTCACCTTAGTTCTTGAGCTACGTATTTCATTTTGGTACCAATGTGTTCGCAATAAAATTCTCTAGAAGAACATCAGTAAAAAACGTCACGAAACGTATAGGGATACCAGCACCAAATAAATAACTACGAAGATGACTCGCCGTGAGCGCCCAACAGCAACAAAATGTTTTTACTCTTGGGATTGTTATCACCTCCATCCACACTTGTCCTACAGCGTTAATTTTGGTATCAATGGACTCGCAATGAAATTCCCAACACGGTGATATGAATATAAGCGTAGAATAATGATTGCGGCCCGCCCGCAAGAGTGTGGGAAGTGGTGAAATTGTTACCCGGTATCGGTGACGGGACGACGCATGGCGCTTTGAAAGTTTATACTTATTTCACTCTCATGACATTAATTTTCTATGTACGTCATTCATTTTTGTGTCAATGTGTTCGCAATAGAATGTTCTATGAGCTTGTAGGTAAAAAAGATCAACAAAGCGTAAGATAGAATAGCGCCAAATATAAAACAACCCTGGAACATATCAGTGAGCGTCAAACACACACAAAATGTTTTTACTTTTGTTATGTTTGTCAAGTTTATACTTGTTGCACACAGTTATTTTTGGTTGTACATTGATCGGAATAAAATTCCCTAAACAGTCATATGCATATAATACATGATATGGGGGAAGCATTACCAGTATAAACGGCTAAAGTCACCCACCTGCAACCCGTTTGGGACATAATACCATTTGATCGAAGTGGTCCACACCTTTCATGAACTTATTGTACCATGCAGCCTAGTGGTGAGAAAGAGAGCCTCATGGCGCACAGTTTGAAACAAACCCAAAGTAAATCGGATAAAAATTGAATTTTATACAAATATTTTAAAAGAGGACATAACTTTATGTCCACTATGCGGGAGCGGTTAGCGAAACAGGACTCCTCAGTGAGTCCGGTTAGCGCGAAAGTGTTATAGTGTAACGTGTGTTGGCTCAAATTGACTCGTGCGAATCTCATTCATCGGACATGGGACTTTCTGATCAAGAACAATGATTCTTCTGCAGAAAAGGGGAAAATTCCAGCCAAACAGGGTTGTGCTTATTTGAGCAGTATCAAACTATGATGTGGGGGGGAAGAGGTCATGTTGACCATATATGTACATTGATTACACACAGAAATCACAATTGCGTGATGCATCAAATGAACAAATCCACAAGGGGCGTGGTCGATAGCTTAGTCGATTAAGGCAGCATCTGGGATGCTCTCGGACGCAGGTTCGAATCCTTGTCACGGCCCTTGTGGATTTGTTCATGTACATTGATGCAGGGTATATAAGAGATAGATAGGTGTATATGGCATTTATGGATATGAAAAAAAACATATTTCAGAGTTAGAGAAGGATTTTAGAGAGTGAGGTTCATACAGGGAATTATAGGAGTCTACTAAATGTCATGGAAAAGCTCTTATTTTGGAAGTAATACATGTGTAAGAGTTAATGGGGGGTATTGAATTTATTATAGTAAATGGTTTATAGTACAGTACTGGTTTATTATAGTAAATGGATGAAGTCATGAAGAAGGTCAAGGTTTAAAGTTACCTTACAGTACAGGCCTAATTTGAGTACTTGGAGTACTGTATGTAAAAAATGAAATATGCAGATAGTTCTCATAGCAGAATGAGAGTAGTTTATAGTATATAAGGGTTGAAAATTCCATCAAGTGTCCCACAAGATTAACTTCTGGGACACTTAACACTTTGGCGTACCCCGCGCGCCACCCCTCAACTGTGCGATTTGGGTCCCAGGGTGTCACGGGAGCGCGCGTAAATTCTGAAAAGTGTATACTCTCTTCAACTTTGTCACCTTAATTCTCGTCCTACGAGATTAAATTTGGTATCATTGTGTTCGCAATAGAATTCTCTACAGCACTAAATGCATATAAACTTCAAAAGTCCGGCTAATTACCCGCAGCAAACAGAGAAAGTGCGAACGAGTTACCCAGGAGTGCGCAAACGCGATAAAATGTTTTCACTATTTTCACTCTGGTCACCTCAATTTTCGTCCTAGGTCTTTCATTTTGGTCTCAATGGGTTCGCAATAGAATTCTCTAGAGGAACATTAGCATATAAAATAAAGAACCTGGTCACGCTCCAACCGCCGACGAGTTGAAGACGGGCCACGCGTTAGCCGCGAGTGAGCGCTCAGATGCCTTCAGCTACACTCCCAATTCCCGCCCTTTTCAAGCCTTTCTTTCACAATTTTCTTCCTGGAAGGGCCTTGTTCATGATCACTATCCATCGTGGAGTAAGCGTAGATAGTTTCTAAAGCCGCAGTAAGAAATATAGCCACGGAAAATAGCCGAAATGTTCACACGTTTCAGATGTAAGGGGAGGCGACATTGGTCACAACAGTGGAGCGAAAACAATGGGCCGACGGCGTGTGCCGAGCCGCCTGCGGGCCACGAGGCGCAACAAAGAAAAAGGGAAGACATCGGCGCGCATTTTAAAACCAGTCTCCAAAAAATCGGATAAAAACCTGATTTTTTGCGATTATTTAAAGTGGATGACGCAATACTGCGTCATCCCCGGCATTACCGACAGTAAACGGATGACGCAATGCTGCGTCATGCCCGGGCGAAAGTGTTAATGGAATAACTGCTAGAATTGTTTGATCAATTTGAAACCCCCTGTGGTGTATAACTGGGAAGATCAGTTTGTGTACAGGAAGATGAGAGCAGAGTGGGTATTTACAATTTTCAGGAACATGTTCCCTTTCTCTGTCATTCACTCCCTATTTCTCTAATAATTTAATGGTAGTATGGGTTTACCAGAGATATTATATCTGCATTATACTGTATAATGAATACACAGTTTCCATATTTTTATATGTGACCACTTACTATATTGCTTTCCCCTTGTTCTCTCCAGGCTGATTTCTCCCCACTCCATAAAACTGGTAAATGGGGGTAATGAAGTAGGGGTGATTTACCCCATAATATTGGTGTTGTGTTAAGTTACACTACTTTCAATGTCTTTACTATTTTTACCCTCTTTCTTATTCTTCCATATAATACTTTTATTTTGTCCTTATTAACACCATGTGTGTTTGCAGACTTTGGTCTCGAGGCCGTTTTATCCTGTTTCAAAAGCTGTATTTGCGCCTGTGTTTAGAATTCTCTTGCATGAATATTTCTCTTGCAGATACACAGAGCAGCACCGGGGAAGAGATAGAGTTCAGCAGACTGGCAACAGACCCATCAGAGATGTCATCAATAATGGCCTTTGTCAAAAAAGCTGCCACAGAGTGATCATTTCCTGTGGACAATAATTAGAAAGATATCATTATGGGTATTAATTGCGGTGTTCTGCTTTTGTATTTAAATTTCTAAGGTATAAATATGTATTAGAAAATATTTATATATTTTTTTTAATGTTTCAAATAGATGTTTTGCTTTGCAATTTATGGTAAATTTACAGTAAATTTTCTGAAATTAATATATACTGTATATACTATTTTCTGTGGAGAGCCCCTTCAGTTCCCCGAAGCTGTACCGAGCTGATGGGTATATATTAGACCGTGGCAACTGTCAATCAATAGAGTTCTAGGCCTACCAGGGACCATGAGCCAGAATCTGACCTCTGCTCAGAGAGGCACGAGGAGCAATGGCCTATAGACATGCCTATGTAGTTCACAGCATCATGTCTGCCATCTACCAGGTCAGGCACCCAGAAAGGTAGGAAGCCCAAAACAAACTACAGCTGGTTAAGAATTGCAAACCAAAAGCCAAATGAGCAGGCAGAACTCCTCAATCAGAAAAAAGTAAACAAGCCATTGCTCCTCGTGCCTCTCTGAGGGGGCCAGGTTTAGGCTCATGGTCCCTGGTAGGCCTAGAGCTTCATTGATTGACTTACCATGGTCTAATATATACACATCAGCCCGGTATGGCTCCAGGGAACCTCTGGGTCTTGCCCAGAAAAGGTGTTTCATTGCATTCAACGTTGGTTTTTTGTATATTCACTGTAGTATGCACTCACAATTTTCATTATGAGTTGTTACACAGCTTCTGAGTTGATGCCTGCAGGTGTTACCACACTGTAATCATAATAAGAATGTTTTGTAATTGTCACTTTTTTGTTAAGGATATTGCTCTCTTGCAGATATATTATGTGATGTATTAACAATATTATCTATGATATTTTAACTAATGCATATATATGTGATATTGCATTAAACGTCCTCAGTTTAATGTGAAAATTTTGCAAGAAAACTTAAAATTATACAATGTAATTGTGTAAATAATTGGAAAGTTCAACTGAAGATTAAATATTTGGAAGCTCTTTAACTATAGCTTCTGTTTTTAGTGAATAGTGTAAACATTGTGTAATATTATTATTATATTGTCATCCACACTTCCATGGAAATGAACATTTCATTCACCTGGGCTCTAGGAGACTTGAACCAAATAAGCAGAGGATCGAGCCTCTGCCTCACATGCGTTGGGTCCGTGGTTCGAGTCTCCTAGAGCCAGGTGAATGAAATTATTATTATCATCATTATCACCCATGTTGGATTGTGTGAGGCAGAACTCGAAAGGTATCCACATTTAACACCCAGAGTTGAATAATGCCAGTATCATGAGGGTTGGTATACAATTTGATATTTTGCCAATTACACTATCGTAGTGTCATGTATTGATTCAGTATTTAAACTTTGACAATTTAAAGCATACATTGAGCATTTATTGGTTTAAATGTATAGATTAACTTAAGAGTTTTTCCTAAACACATTCCATGATCCTCCTGCCATTAAGGTAAATAATGATGTCCGGCATAATAGGGTCTTGTGCCTCTCGTATTTTGTACGAAGTGTAGTTTTGTAATTTGAATTTCTATTCATAGTTTTAGGGCTTCATTGCATGATCTGAGCTATTTTAAGCTTGTTGTCATTTAATGTGTGTAGCCTAAAGAAACTGAATGCACAAACAGGAAGTGTATATTAGGAATAATATATAATGCCTCAAAATAGGTATTAAAATAAATAGTTTAGTGCCATATATGTATCTTGACTAGTAGAAATGATAAGAAATTTTGATCTGATTTAATATTATGGGAGAGGTTTTATTTTGAAGTGGCATCTGCTGTACACCATTGATGGATGGCATTCTAGTAAGTTTTTCCTTAAAGTTTGTAGCAAGCAAGTTGAAGACTTAACCCATCAAGAGCAGTTATTGTCATGTTGATTCATGGGGTAATGCATTTACCGTATTGTCATACATTGATATAAACTATTAAAGTCTGGGGTTTTACACATATGATGCAAATAAGGATATAATAGATCTACTGTATGCGGGGGTGTAATGGAGTTTACCTTGACCCTTGGAGAAAATCCTGCAATCATTTTATTGTTTGGTTACTATGTGAATGCTGTTATCGTCACAAATGTTATTATGCGGATGCAGTAATAGTCTTTGAATAAAATTCCATCATAATTGCACTATATGTATACCACCGTTGTTCATATGGTTTTCGTAACTCCATATGGTTATAATGAAGTATACCAGGTACACCAATCATCAATTGAACTATTATAATGCATTACGTGTACTATGAGTCTGCTGCTATCTGTGGGTGGCACATTGGTGTCTTACGCATTTATGTCAATCCATATTGTCACCCCATGTGGTGCCAATTAGGCCCCGTCATCACCCAGAGCCCAACATTCATGTATATTATGTTTATATGGTTTTCACAACTCCATATGGTTGTAATGTTTATCACCCCAAAAAATGTAATATCACCCCAAAACAAGATTAGAGGTTAACTTAGCTCTCAGCTTGAGCCTGGGATGGAATTTGACCAGTTTGAGGTCCTGGTTGCTATCAAATGAGGGTAAATAATAAGTGGTCTTCCTGTGATCATGGCAGAAGAGCTCACAGGCTCATAACATGTTTTGAAATTTGTGACATGTAGTTTAATGTGTTTGGTTAATTAGAAATAATACAAAATCCTCCTCGTAGTGCAAAACAAAATGGAAAAGTACACTAATACAGTTATAAATTATAATATGATGAAACTTTGAGGTATTAATCAAGATTAATCAAGTAATGTACTAAATAATAAGGGTCTTATTTTGAAGCTGATGGCTCATTGGGTGCCGTCTGTGACTGCTTCCTTCCACTTGGGAAATTTATGCACAAAACTTGTATGTTCTGGATACCACTTAAAAATATAGATTTGAGATTTTAACAACCTTTTTTGCGTGTTTATTTAAATATTGCATAGATAAAAGCAAATGCATTATGAAAGTTCTTAAGATATGAAACCAAAAGGAGTATTGGTAATGATGCATGATTTTAATCGAGATTATCAATTATGTTAGAAATTCTAGTATCTTATACTGTATATACAAAGGCTATTTTATGGGCTGAAAATGTGTTTCAACTAATGGTGTTACAATATTTACGTTTTAGTAAAAGTAGTTTTACAGGTGTTGACAATAATATACAAGAGACTGCATCATCATAAGGTTGCACCACATTGAACATAGT